AAAGTGAAATTAATGAACTTTGCAAGATGATTTTTCTTTCTGTCTCTGAGAAAGTTCTGTATGAATTCTGCTTTATGTGACTTCAAAGCACAAGTCGACCAGTAGGAGTGCATATTTAATACTCATTGGAATACAGAATGTCCACCAAACTCAACATATATTTTGTCGATGAAAAAGTAAAGCATTTTGATGATATCCTCTTCGGTGTAATTGTTGTTGTGGATCTTCTCAAAGCAAGATTTTTCATGACCTAAAACGGAAATTGTATCTTTAATCCTTTTTTGTAGAAATTTTAATGACACAATGTAATTGAGCATAGTGAATAGCATTGAAAAGCTTACAAATTTTTAAAGTTTTGATATTACTGCAAAATTGTAATAATATGATTGTTATTGAACCTCTTTTGTTATGAATTCCAAGTTCTTTAGTTAGACTTTCCAAATAATAATTTCTGAATAAACAACCATATTGTTAAAGGATTTGTCTGCGGGAACGACAACATATTTGTCGTGAAAAGAGAATAAATCACACAAAAAAGTCTGGCTTTCTGGACTATATGTTGTTCGATTTCCGTTTGTTTGTTTGTACACATATTTTCTCGCAGGAGTCGGTTGTTGATGGATAGTGTGGTTTGTTGTAGGCCTCACCGTTTTATAGTTTGGTAAATTTCAATTATCTTGTATGTTATCTATTTAGGTCCCGAACTTTTGGTCTGTTGAAGGCTACATACGGTTACCTATACCAATTGCTTTTATCTTTGTCATTTGAACTCTATTGGATTGTTGTCTCATTTGCAATTCTACCAGTTCTCCTTATTTTTTTTATGTTAAACAGAACAGCAAAAAATCGTCGGAGTGATTGGCAGCCTTATTAAGTTTTTTTTTCTCAATTTATTAATTCAATTCAAAAACTAAATCCATAATTAAAATCAGAAAGTCCGAAGCACTAGGCGGATACACAGTCCAACAGTAGCAGCATCGATCCAGTGGTAGTTATAATGGAATAACGTATGATATTTATTATTATCTTACCTCCTATAGATTTCTAGGGATATGATTGGTTAAAGGACTACACGTGGTGACTACATATATTTGATATAGGGTGTCCTGAAACATATGGGGTTATGTTCAGTAGTTGTCGTTTGTTGATGTGGTTCATAAGTGTTTCTCGTTTCTCGTTTTTTATATAGATTAGACCGTTGGTTTTTCCCGTTTGAATGGTTTTTCACTAGTAATTTTTGGGGCCCTTTATAGCTTGCTGTTCGGTGTGAGCCAAGGCTCCGTGTTGAAGACCGTACTGTGACCTATAATGGTTTACTTTTATAAATTTTGACTTGGATGGAGAGTTGTCTCATTGGCACTCATACCACATCTTCTTATATCTATTAGTTACCATATGGGGTTAGTAAGGAGTTACTTCCCTTTAAAAAAAAACGAAGTAGGTTCTTACTAAGTATTGAAGACTTAATCACTTTGATAGGTCGCTAGTCTAAATACCATATGTGAAGATAGTCGGTAAGATAAATTCGTTACACGGTGTGCTATTGACCTAATACGATAAATGTTTAATAGTAGTCCAAGGCTACAATTAAATGGACTTAGATAGAACATGGTGTCTTAGCTTTTAACCGATTTTTTTTAAACCGTAAAATTGAGAATGGAAATGGGGAATGTGTCAAAGAGACAACAACCCGACCAAAGAGCAGAAAACAGCCCAAGACCACCAATCAGTCTTCAACATAGCGAGAAAATCCCGCACCCGGAGGCGGGCTTCGGCCAATCTGCATAAATGGTTCAATTCATAAAAATGTAGGTCAGAAATATTGATAGATTAGAGAACTATTGACCGTGAACTGATATAAAATGTATTTTAAATATATTAAAATGTTTTAACCGAGCTTTAAAAACCTTTTCTTACTTTATTTTGATTAAATACTGGGATAAAATGTTTTAATTATGAATACATTAAGACGGTACTGGTAGACGGTCAGTCACTGAGGGTACCAGTTGCTTATAGCTTGTTACGAGTACTTTGGTACTGCCATGATTTAAATGGAATAATTTGATCGTATGAATTATGTATGACTTATGTTCTAAATTAAAGGATGCTACTCTCTTGTGCATACTTTATACAGTTTGGTTGTTTATGGTTAAACCTTTTTTATGTTGCATGTTCCCCAAACTTTAGATCACGAGTCTTCCTAACATAATTATCTCAGAAAAGTGTGGTAAGCACGGAATTCGATTTTTGTATTGCAATCACTGAGTTTATCTCGCTTCTGTCTTTCCCTGAGGGTGCCACAAACCCAGAAGCCAATGAGCCGGCACTTATATGATTAAAATGAACCATTTTGTAACTTATAAATCAATTAGGTAAGTGTACCAAAAAATATTGCAAAATAATTTCAAGCAAAGTTCACCGCAGACGCTTGTATCTGTTTTTTTCAAACCATTTGTGGATTGTAATATGTTACTGTCTGTTCTTGTTGTCGTTGATTGAATGCTATTTTTTCTTTTTCAGAAAATTTGTTACGGATTGCACGCACTTTTCTAATATTATTGCATTGCATTAAAAAGCAAAACAGGGGACATGTCTCAATTAACCAGTCTCGCTACTCATTAAATATTACATGCATTTTATGTCACATATATAGTTAAACTGTTTTTATCCGATTAAAATACTTATATCTGGTTAAATAATCCTATTAAAACATCTGTAACAGTTGCTAGACAAAAATGTTATTGATTGATCAAATTTAATATTAAGCATTCGACTTTTCAAAATTCTTATGTTGATATGATGACACAAGTGATAAAGAACATAATACATATTGTTGATTTTTACTAAATCATTAAATCTGTTGCATTCGTAATCCATATTATGTACACGTTACATTGCGTACTTGAAATTTCAAATAATACTTATGTAATATAAAAATAAGGAGATGTGATATGATAGCCAATGAGACAACTATCCACCAGAGTTCAAATGACGTTTAAAAGTTGTCATGTACATGAAGTCATAGTTTATCACTTTTAATTGATAATTAAAAAGACAATAATGGCAGAACATTCAGTATGATAAATTGAATAACACATAGCTGAGAGGGTGATGGGGCAGATTATTACTCCTCGAATAATTGTATTCTTGGGGTAACAATCTGCTCTATTACCCTCTCAGCTATGCATTATTTATATAAGGTTCTTATAGACCAAAGGTTGATGATGGAAGTGTTTAACGACCTTGACTGGCTATACAGCACTCGCACGGTCGGTAGACCAAAGGTAAATGTCATCTGATATGATGTCCAACTGTAATAGTGAGGGATTATTCAACTTCGTGGTGCTCCTGTTATTTTTTTTTATTAAATTAAAATTAAACCAAACTGGTTGATACTAGACAATTATTTTGTAGATCCTATTACTATTTTATTCTACATGCATTTAAGGAAAGATAACTCTGAAAACTTAAATGAAATTCTAATGCAGTTGGACTGGACTTTTCCTTTACTAAAATAATGTTTCCTATATTTCTAAAATAAGAAATAACAAATGTACTAAAAATTCAGTTTCTGTAAAAACATGCCAGTTTAGGGGAAATTTCTGAAAACTATCCACCTAAAAACTCATTTTCTATATAAACATGCTAGTTTTGGGGTATACACATTGAACTTGAGTTTTTGTACAAACATGCTAGTTTTTTTTTGGAAAACTCTAAACTATCCACTGTGACATGAAAACTCAGTTTTTGTTTAAAAATTCTAGTTTTGGGGATAACTCTTCAAACTAAAAACATGAAAACTCAGTTTCTGTATAAACATGCTTGTCTTTGGAGATAATTCTTCAAACTATACACATGAAAACTCAGTTTCTGTATAAACATTATATATCTGGGTGAAACTCTTTAACTTACTCACATGAAATTAGTAAATTGCCCCCTTGAATTAAGTTCCCTTTTTAGATGTCATTTAATTCATTGGCTTGTTGGGTTGCTGTCTCACTAACATATATCCCTCATCTTCTTTTATTTATAAGCACTGGAATGTTTTTGTTAGTATCCTTTCATTTTGATAAAGAAATTGTGATTTTCATATCGGTTTAATATTATGATAATCGCCTTGGTGCTTGCCTCGAGTGCGGGAGGTCATAGGTTTAACCCTAGACCAGTTCAAACCAAATACTTGAAAATTGATATTTGCCGCTTCACTGCTAAGCATACTGATTACGACATTTGGGAGTAAGAGTAGATACTGGTCGGTTCGGAGTCCGATTAACAGGCCGGGTTTTGGGACATTTCTTGTGAACTAGCATGATGAAAATCCGGCTCAGAGTGTCGGTCAGGTAAAAATCAGGGTTCATATTCATATCACATCAACACGATCTTGTCCTAAATATGTAAACATTCATCCATCCATCCGTCATTTAATATCCGATTTTATGCAGTTCCCAACTGAAGAGTCTTCTGTTTATAGCTCGAGTGGAAAATGTGTTAACTGTAATCATATTAGTTGGAAAAAATGTTTCACTAAATGAAAACGTGCCAGTTCTGTAAATGAAAGGCTACTTTTGTGCTGTACACTTTTAAGGATCCTTACCTTAGTCACTTCTCTTCTCCACCATCAAATCATTTCAGATAATATTTATGTTCTTATAATAGATACATGTACTCATAATACACCGATAAATTATACTTTAAATATTGCGATTTAATGAAATATTTCCTCTGGAAAACGAATTTAAAAAAACGTTATAAATTTGGTGCGTCTGAATTATCTTCTTCAGATATGCTCAAACCTGAAAAAGTTTAATACCAAGGATGTATAAGTACCTTACCATGTGAAGAGCTTTATAATAAAAAGATAAAGCATTTTCAATATATTCGCGTGACGAAATTAGAACTTATACTATATAGTTTGACTAGTGTGAAATTAAACTAATTTGAACCCTGTTGTGCGAATTTTTTTTAATATATTTTATCCAATGAATTGAAATTATTTAAAATATAGAAACCACGTTCCACCCTGTATATCACCGATATAAATGAATCCGGACGTTTAAGCGTTCTAGTAGAACACACATGTAGTAAACAACTGAGTTCAGACGCAAGAAAATCTATACAGTCACTTTTAAGGTAAGTCAAATAATTATTTATCGAATTATCGATTTAGTGCGTTAATTAACGAACTTATTTATTGTTTTGTTTGATTTTTTCATATGATTTGTTTCACATTTTTTCAGCTTTGCTTTAATATATTCTTTTACGCATTACATATTACAAAGAGGAAGTTTTTTTTAATACGATATCGTGAATTATATTCACACAGCCGTTCCATCGGTCAAAACGTACACATCACTAACTAATGTTAAATCGTAATACATTTTTAGTTTTCCGTGCTTGACATTTAATAAAACATATATTTCAAATATATGAAAAGATAATCATTTTAATTTTACAAACTAATATAGGTTTATAGGTGTATATAATATCCAGAAACTGGGTTTGTAAGTTGATGTTACCTATTTGCTTATCCGTAGTTGCGCGGTTCATTGCGCGTGAAGTGATTTAAATAGCGAACATTATTATGTAATAAAATCTTGCTAAAATGTAAATAACTAAAAAGAGTCTGAACTTCATAGCAATATTTACGCTTTACTAGCAGGAATCGATTTATATTTTTTTTACCTTATTTTATCTGGAATAACATGTAATTGACTATAAGAAGATGTTGAATGATAGCCAATGAGACAACTATCCAACAGATTCCAAATGACGTCGATTTTAGCAATTATTGGTCATCGTTCGGCCTTCAACAATGGGGGAAAACCCATACCGTATAGTCAGCTATAAAAGGCCCCGACTTGACAAAATGTAAATTAAGTCAAACAATAAACCAACAGTCTGATTTATGACGAAACAATTAACGAAAAACCTATATAATAGACAGCAACCAACGACAACCACTGAATTACAAGCTCTTGACTTAGGACAGGCAGATACAGAATGTGGCGGGGTTAAACATGTTTGTTAGTGTTCAACCCTTCCCCATAACCTTGGACAATGGCGTAACAACACAACATTAGAACAAACTGGAAATGGCTTAACTTATTATATCAGCACGAAGCTAAAAAAAACTAACATAAAGACAAAAGGCATAAAATACCGATCTAAGAGTAACCGCAGTTACTGAAAGCTAGTTCAAAGTTCAAAATGTCTAGACTTTGAGAAAATCAGATGGGCGCTTGATTAAGAGGGTACAGAACACCTAAGTGAGTTACTCTTTAAAAATCAGCTGAACGTTTTAATCACATACTATTAGTAAAGATAAATCAAGCTTCTCAATGATCAAAATCAGTGTTTGTCATACTGCTATGCATCCAATGAATTATTCCTGTAAATTGTGTGGTTCAAATCTCTTGAAACTTTTATAATTTTCTCAACAGGTCAGAGTAAATATTTTGTCAAAATGTTATGGAAAATAAACAAGCCAAATTTATTTTATTCAAAGTGTTGGGTATCCCATCAAGCATTTCTAACGTTAAGGTTTGTTCCTTCAGTCATTTTTTGTCAACAAGCAACAAAAATCGACATATTTGTTGCAACTAACGATACAGTATCAGTAAAATTATTTTGAATGATATCTTGTTTATTCTTAATTCTAGGGAATATTTGAAGGTTGGTGGTTATTTAAAATTTTTGCGTGTATAAATACAAAATTAATTAGAATAAGGAATTAATATATTCTTATTCAAATAACTGTTGACAATTTTCAAATGATACACATTATATTTTCCAAAGAATTACAGTTTAAATAAAATAACATTCATTCAATTTTAAGGCATTCGAGGAACATACATTTTATCAAATGTAAGCATTCCATGAAGACAACCTCTGGGAAAATACAGTTGTTCAATTTGAAGATATTACATACCAAAAATCATAGATAAATTATTAATGCACCGTTTTTTTTCAAATAGTTTTTGGCTGTGAAGTTCAGGGATTAAAAATTAAACAATATACATGACTAATCATTAAGAAGAAAGAGTCACAACAATATATTATTCATACAAATTTAAATTAATAATTGACATATTTCTATATTTTATGCAGTGAGATTGTCGGGAAAACTGTGACGGTATTTGTTTGTTTTGTTTTCTTTGCCTTTAAGCCGAGTGGTATTAACAAATCGTTTTAGACTATAAAAGGATATCGATTGATGTTTGCTTTATTGCGCTGATGCGACATAAAGCAAACACTAATCAATATCCCTTTGTAGTCTAAAACAGTTTGTTAACATCACTCCTCATCTGGTTTCATTATGCACAGTCGAACGTCATTATACACACTCGAACGTCATTATACACACTCGAACGTCATTGACATTTAGCAACGAATGCAGCGATCTTGAACTTTCATTAAAGCGCGAGTTTTTGCTCCGTGCCGAAATGCCTCACTGTAACTTTGAAATAAAGAACAACACAGTTTATTTGCTTTGGGTTGTTTTAAAGTTCGAGATAGGGATGTTGTGCATTTTATATTTCTATTCGAGTAGGATTAAAGAAATATAACTTTATAACAAAACATATGGTATTCGTACTGTATTACGTATTTTGCAAAACTTTTAGGAAGTTTTGGTCCTCAATGCTCTTCAACTTCGTACTTTGTTTGGCCTTTTTAACTTTTTTTGATTCGAGCGTCACTGATGAGTCTTTTGTAGACGAAACGCGCGTCTGGCGCAAATACAAAATTTCAATCCTGGTATATATGATGAGTTTATTTACATAATACTTGTATATAAATGTTATACGGAGTTTCATGATTTTGTTAGGGAATTGGACGTTTGTTCTACTCTCGTTTTTTTAATGATTACTAACCTGGTCTGAACACTGAATTAGAAATCACATACCTATTCACGTAAGAGATTTCAGGAATATGAAGAAAAATATTACATGTACATGTACGTAGCTATTTACCGGAGTTTTTGAAATAACCTAGCTTTTTCACAAAACAACGAACTCTGCAAAGATTTTGACAGAGGACAATACTTATTTAATTACCTTGCTGTCTAAACTAAAGTCTTTATTTAATACCCTGTCTATAAACCCACTACACCCCCCCCCCCCCCTTTTCTCCCACACTTCCCGATCCGACAACAAAGATATTAATCTTAAATATGATGTATATAATAAAAAATCAATTTAAATTCAAGAGTCTATCCTAAATTGAGGTAAATTATATGGCCTTCCAAATACCGTTTCGATCACTAACATCACTGAAGAGACATCAATTGTCGAAATCCGGATATGGTGTACAAATTTTTGCACCTCATGTTTGCGGTATACCATCTTCTCCGCAAATTTATTGTTTTCTGTTTGGTATTAAATTAATAATTAAGATCCATGTTACATCTCGTGATCAATTTATTTGGCAATCGTCAATGGCAGTCAGCAGGGTTTAAGTACATCAGTTGTTCGACCTGCTAGTCAAATGTGTTTTGTTAAAATATACTTTTTCACTGTTTTGGTCTTTTGGAAAATGTTGTTTGTGCTGTATTTAGACCCCTCTACCAAGAAATTTGTTTTGCATGCACACGTATAGAAATTGCGGTTTTTATTCAACGCAATCATAAGTTTGAACGTTGTTTTCAATTTAGACTTGTTTATATATATATACTACGTACTGAGAAAACAATGACAATATACGATTAAATACAATTTTATTTATCAAAACGCTTGTGTGTCTTATTAGAAAATTGGTTTTTTTTTCAATCTTATAACGTTTGCCAATCATTTTAATTCAACACAAATTGAAAAGAAAGGAATATAGAAGTTATCTAGTTCTGTTCTATGAAGATGATAAGCGATTTACTTAATGAGATGAACCGCACCAACCAATCCCTGTCCATGATATTTGTATGCACACTTAATTCGATATATGAGATGCATAAATAAGTATCATATGTTGAAGAAGCTCCTCTCTCACGAGCATGTAGCATAAATACATTGAAAGAAGTTAGTGTATAAAGTCAAAATAAAGCCGACTTGTCTAACTATAAACAACGTATTAAAACCAACTGATTGTTTTAAAAACCGGATAAATCTACCGGAAAAATTGAGTTTTAATGTGATAAAAAAAAATTATTTCGCGTATCTTCTATTAAATGTAAAGCCTATAAGGGTTAAGCTTTAACTTTAACTTCCTTTTTGGATGTCAAGTTTAAAAAGACGAAATGTAAGTATTTACTGTAAGTTTTATTTCTAATCTTTTCCAAACAATAACAAATGACGTGGGTGCAATAGGTGTACGTTTTAAAGATAAAATCCAACTGAAAGAGAATTCAACCACAAGTCTCAAATACGAATATGCAGAATACAAAACATACATAAAATGTACCAAACATTTTTTCCTCGATTAAAAAAAAGTGGGAGTGCAACTGAATTTTCACCTTTTCGAGATTCTTTATCATAATATTTACTAACCTATCACAAGCTGAACTTTTGTTGCCAATCAGGTTGTCAAGTATTTTAAAGGAAGAGAAGAAAACATATTTTGTATCTTAACCGAAATGTGGATGGGGTATAGAAGTTAACTATTTCAATTCTATGAAAATGATAAGCGATCTACTTGATGGGATGAACCGCACCAACCAACACCTTTCCATAATATTTGTATGCAAACTTAATTCGATATATGAGATGCATAAATAAGTATCATATATTGAGGAAGATCTTCTCTCACTAGCATGTCGCATAAATACAATGAAAGAATTATCGTGTTGCCTATAAGGTGTCAGACCACAATTTCACCCATTCCAATTTAAAACATAAAGGAAGCCCTTCCCTGACGAAAATAGTGATTTTGATGTCATTGTTTATTTAAACTAACCAACAAATTTGCAGAAATGAAACTTTTAGTGAAAGAGAAATATATCTAGACCATTTTGAGCCAAAATTTACTTGTCAGTGAGTTTGCATTAGAAATTGAGGATTAATACGCTCCATAATATACTTATTTAAGATTTCCAGAAAACCAGGGTTGTTTTTAGTAGAAGTTGCTTTCCGAACGGCAATATTTCACTACAAGACTTTAAACATTGGTTGAAAATTGTCACGTAGAAAGGTGATACATGTACAATTCAGGATATACCTGGTTTCTGTGAAGTTAGACTAAGTTAAAATATTTAGAACGCTGTGAAAATTGAAAAGAAAATGGTTGAATGTTAGGGATTTTGAATTGGTGGTCTCACACCTATAACCATAATGTATACTATCGACATTATATATTTCTGTTCATTTTTCTCTCTGTTCATTCTGTTTCCCATTCAAATTTTAGTTCATTCATTTATTTTCTAAATTGAAATATATATATTATATCTATATTATATAAATAAGTTTGGTGTACACATTTTTACACCTCATGTTTGCGGTATACCATCTTCTCCGCAAGTTTATTGTTTTCTGTTTGGTATTAAATTAATAATTAAGATCCATTTTACATCTCGTGATCAATTTATTTGGCAATCGTCAATGGCAGTCAGCAGGGTTTAAGAACATCAGTTGTTCGACCTGTTAGTCAAATGCGATTTGTTAAAATATACTTTTCACTGTTTTGGTCTTTTGGAAAATGTTGTTTGTGCTGTATTTAGACCCCTCTACCAAGAAATTTGTTTTACATGCACACGTATAAAAATTGCGGTTTTTATCCAACGCAATCATAGGTTTGAACGTTGTTTTCAATTTAGACTTGTTTATATAAATAAGTTTTATGTTCATAAGATTAAGAGATGGCGTCCAAAGAAATTTGGATGTAACACCTATTCAATTCCTATCAAAACCAAAGGAAATAGTATCACTCATTCAATATTCATTGAATCGACGCATATGTTATACATTTATCTATAAGTTTTCTAAAGGGGAGTCGAGTGCCAAAAAAGTTTGGAAAGGTAACCATAATAAATACAAGAGAAGTTACAAAACAATAATGACAGAAGAAAAAGAATAATTCTATTGCCTGAGTGAGAAGTAACAACGTATGACCTGACAATTAGATGACCGGTAAAAGTTTACACTGATAGTAAGAAAATTCTGGTGCGACCAGTAACTTTTTACATAGGGCGTCCCTTGGTGGAGGAAGATTTTGGTATCCCATCTCATGGGAAGTCAGGTTCTTATAGGTTAAAAGGAAGTAATTAAAGATGACTGGCGCCACCTAGTTTTTACATCCAAGATAATAGGTAGAAGTAAATTTATTTTCTGCTGCCCTGTTAATTAAAAAACAAAATTGAAATTGTGAGAAATGAGTGTATGGTGTAGAAATAACGAGAAATTTGGAGGAAACTCTCTGTGACGAGCAACATTTTCTGTGCAAAATTAAGCAAGGGGTGTTCTTCATTCATACTATTTCGAAAATTCTGCAACCATAGAGTACCCTTAAAAAATTACATTTTCTATCAAAAAAGCTGCGGCACCATATGTGTTTTACAGTTTTATTCACACCCAAAGGTTTTGATAATTCAGAATTTGACAGTTTCATCAGCAGATCTTTATAGTAAAAACACAGGACCCAAAAAGGCTACCATTGTCGTCTACGTGAATAATTACTTTATTTCAACTTAATTAGAAGGAAAGCTTGAGATAGGAGAGTTCTACGAACAATTTACGCCAAAGAACCCTGAAGAACCCTTTTGTAGATAGTGCATATCGCCGATAAAGGGTTGAAGTCATTAAAGTCGAAATTATAAAAAATATATTATAAATCTATAAAACAATATCTTTCAGATGTGCCTAAGTCTATGAAATATCAGTATTTTTTTTAGTTTCTATCATTTTGTCTTGCATATTAGCTTTAGGGCTTTAAACTCCTGATATGAGGCGTTGCTCAAAAAAGATATTTTGCTACAAGATGTATTCTACAACGATATTTATAGGTGTCAAATATAGTTCATTGTAAGGCATATGATCATATATATTTTGTCAAAAAACAAGGTGAAATGGTCAATTTCGACATGTTTATTACGTCGTAGCGACAACACAAATGACCTTTCACCATAAAAGTAGCCAGACCTTCTGAACCGGTTCATTTATCAACAAAACTAACATAGTTTTGAAGGTGTCTTCCTGCTATTCCTACATTTTAAAAATACGTATTCCTTCTATTCCTACAAATACAGTACAATAGCTGTTGTTATAAGGTCATTTGTTGTTTTAGCAATTTAGATTTAATTGATGTACAGGGTGTCATCCTGGTTTGCCCACTTTTAATTACATGTATATGTAAACATAGGGGGAATTGTTGTTTTAACAATTATAGTTTATTTCTGAATCATAGTCATATTTTTTACCTTTTATTTTACCTGTAAAATTTTATAAAAGATACTGAATTCTGCTATTAAATCAAGGAAAATGTGCAAAAATAATTTATATTTGATTTAGTTTATAGCAGGAAAATATATTGAATTTGACAAATAGTTTTAATTGTTGGAATATTCTGGAAAAAAGTTAAAACTAAAGATTAGAAACAATGTCATTTAAATTTCTTTTTATTTATTCAACTTATTTTTTTTTATAATTTTAATAAATACACTGCACACCCACCAAAAAGACGAAAATACAGAGAAATAGACACCAGACTCAAACTGCTGAAAGACAGATACCAAAAAAGACTCGGGGATCAGTGTAATAGACTACTCTGACGTAGCAACACATCTTCTCCATTTGAACTGAACAAATTAGTGAAATATTGTAATTTGTGACTTTGTGAATATAATAATTTGTGACTTTTGATTGTATTTCCCATCATTATACATATAGTGCCCCATATTACCTATTTTACCCTAGTGCTTTATTCATTTCCTTTAGTTTGCAAAGCATTTATAAACTTGATTCATATATTATATAAATTATGTTTGCATAAAAGAGAACTTATATTGGTGTATTTAAATCATTAAAATCAGTCAGAAACTATTGAATTATTTAGACACCTTTATAACTGCATGTCATTGTTTTGTACATGTATGTTAAATGAATCGATTGAAATGATATTAAGTTATTGAGAGATTTTTTTTTTATTTATTTATTATTTTTCTATACAAATGAAAATGGAATTACAAAATAAAAAATACCTGAATATATAGAATGATAAATTATATCACTAAGTTGGAACAGACTATACAATTGTATGCTCATTAAACCTTTTGTCTTTTTTGTTTTCTTTACTAATAGATAATTGGTATAATTAAATGTGGGCAAACCAGGAGTAAACCATGTACAGGTACATACATGTAAAAAATGTGCAAAACAAAACACACCATTTTACTTATTTATGAAGAATTATGATTGCAATAATAAATAAAGGATGCATTGCAGAGGATAAAATAGAAAATTAAAGATAGAAATGTACTTTGAATTAATATAACGCGAAATTCAGAATATTTCATAATGAAAAGTAATGAGAAAGAAAACAGAAAGATATATTCAAATTGAATTATATATATTACACATATAGTTTAAAATTTCAACTATAATTTCAATAGACAGCCTTGATGTTAGGATAAATGCTACACAAGTATAAGGTTGAAAAAACAAGTAAAATTTAAACTACACTCCATAGCACTCAAAGTAAGATGGTCCACATTATCCAGATGATGCAAACATTGCACCTACATGTAAGACCCATAGATAGGACAAATTCATATATTATTCCCAGATCACAATGACTTTATATAGACTGATTTTGTGATTAATTCTAATATATTACACGAGAAAATAAACACAATAGTTTTGAAAAATAGAATAAAACAGAGTAAGGATACAGGACAATTTCAATGAGACAAGAACATGCATTTGTTAGAATTTTTTTTTATTACATTTTCTTCTATTGGACATTGATGAAAACTCCAGATTTTTTCTGGATATTTACCTGAAGTTAATTAGCTATATATTTTTACATGTAATCTGATTTAATCCAATGTTTATTCAACGATTCCTCATATTCCTACATGGATTTCTTACAAATGACATACCAGATTTTTGAAATGTAGGAATAGGAGGAATTAACCGTTTTGAAAGACTTGAATAATTTTAATATTTTTGCAATTTCAGGTACCAATAGTCACTCTTATCATACATTCTCCTTTGTCGTCCTTTAAAATTTCCAATTACTTTATATATATATTTCTTGTGAGCGCAAAAACTCGTTCCCTTCCCCCTTTTAATCTGTTTCCATTCCATGTTTATTCCATATCAAATTTTTCATATGCGTTGTCTCGATGTAGCCTTTTTGTGCTGCAAGCCCATTCAACAACCATAATTCAATCCTTCTCAAGTTTAAGTTACTATACAGATTTCCTAAATTGTTGTAAACTCCTTGCTTTTTTTAAGTTAATGCCATTTAATTTTCATTGACTTGTATATAACTGTGTATATAAATAATTAACAGTTATAAATGACGACCATGACCTGACAAATATATTTATTTAAATACTGTATTGTATATAAGTCTTCAATACATTTTGTGTTGACATAAAATATCATAATTAAAACATTGCGCTTATAGTGTATGAAAATCTAATCATTGAACGTGTTTTTGAAAATTTAGTCAGGAAAACTGGCGCATAGAAATAAAACTTATTCTCGTAAGTTGCAATTGTAACTTTGGTAAATGTCGTTTAAAGATTGTAAATACATATAGGTATTTAAAAAAATAAGGTCAGCTTAAGCAATGTTTTCACATACAATATTTATAAATCTTTTTTAAAGTCAGGGATGACATGATCCGGAAATAATATTCATTTGGTTTATTTTATGTTGTACTACTTAGTGATCAGAACCTTTGACGACAAAGTATTTTTTACTTGCAGCAACCGGAGTCAATGCACGATAAATACTACTAACGAAGTAAATAAGTACTACTGACAAAGTAAATTAGTACTGCAGACGTGATCGCTATTGGATATTGGACAGTGAGATAAATGGCATGTTACAGAAAATTCCGGGGGTTATGTACCGTGTGGTGTTCTGTTGAAATACTGTTATTTTCGGGAATTATTTACGGGTGGAGTTCTCTCGTTTTCATATTTACAAACGAAGGATTTTATGCAGATCTCTGTGAGAAAAATCTATTACTCACTGATGTTGAAATTAACTTCACGCATGGAGAGAATACATCAGGTATTTATCGTGGTGACTATAGAAACAATATAACGTTCTCTGATTCTAATGATGAAGAATATAAAGATTGCACAGAACAAGAGAGTAGACTTGGATTCTTTTTTTCCATTGGTGTTGGTTTTACATGGGCAGGAATGGCCATTCTCGGACCAATGACAAAGGCACTTGGAACACGCATAACCCGCATTGTAATTTTGTAAGATACGTTGGTTTAAAATTTTGTCAAGTCTTGTGTTTTTCTTATTAGCTTTATACGTGATATTTAAATCCGTGCCTTTTTCTACAAACATAGAAACTTTTATTTATGCATGAATATAGACACTTAATAAGCTCTACATACGGTACCATTTATACATTTGTACATGAATTTGTTGCTTACATTTTCCTTCCTATTTCATTGTAATATGTTATTTCTGTAAGTCTTTACATGAAAAGTTTTTGTTTTTTATAACCTCCTTTTAAAAAAAAAACGATAGATCTTTAGATGACAAAAGAATGTAAACCAAAGCAGATAAATATTCATGTCTTGGCCATGCAATGGATTTAAAAATAAACTATTGAACATTGTTGAGACAAAAAAAAAAAACAATGACTGAGGAGCTTTCCTAGTTGTGCAACCAGTTTTACAATAAAAATAGATACATTTTTTTTGTAGATTGGTATATGAGATTGGACTCTTTTGTCTCGCATTTACAACAACAGGTATTTCTATATTTTTCGAAATATTTTTATATTTTAAACATTTTTTATGCCCCACCTACGATAGTAGAGGGGCAATATGTTTTTCGGTCTGTGCGTCCGTTCGTTCGTCCGTCCGTCAGTTCGTCCGTTCGTCCGTCTATCCCATTTCAGGTTAAAGTTTTTGATCAAGGTAGTTTTTGATGAAGTTGAAGTCCAATCAACTTGAAACTTAGTACACATGTTCCCTATGATATGATCTTTCTAATTTCAATGCCAAATTAGAGTTTTGACCCCAATTTCACGGTCCACTGAACATAGACAATGATAGTGCGAGTGTGGCATCCGTGTACTATGGACACATTCTTGTTATTGTTATTTTTCTTCTATTTTTCTTTGCCATAACCCTTTTTGTCCCTTAATTTTTAGGTATTTGTTATGAAATTTAACCCCCTCTTTTAGAGAAATTAGTTATGTACGTCTATTAACAGAAGACACTAAAATTGGACCTTAGATGTCAGCACATACCTTACCGCATTGCAGTTGCGTCAAATAACTTTTTTTATAGCTTTAGTTTCAAGAAAATAAGACCAATAGAAAACAAGTGCAACTTAATCAAAATTAAAGTTCTATGAAGTGAGGTGCTTCGGTAAGATTATTTGGTTTAAGATTACAATATAGACGTCAAAAGTGTATATTTGAATTGATGGTCAAATACAAAGAACTGTTTACCATTGATCTCCATTTTCAAACAAAACTTTATCTAAGCTAAATGCTTTGGTTGTTGAATGCAACTGCATTTGCCTGATATAGGTTTCGTAATAATGTACACTTAATGAACACAAAAATGAACAGACATATAAATAACATTTTAAGGAGTATTTTAGAATTATACTGTCGTTCGACAGAAAATTTCCCCAGCCATCGATACGTGAGAATATTAATAAAAATTATGGTCTCAAGGTCAGTATTTTTCGAATATTTTAGTTCATCTTCATACATTTACATCTGTTTAATCACACGGAATGTTTTAATTAAATGTCATAGTAATATACATGAAGCTGTGGATATAAAACTGTTTCTTATTGGACAATAATCATTATCTTTGTTACTTTTTAAGGGGTGAGTGAATGTGCATACACATATACCTGTACATGTAGTCGTAAACCAATTTCACTAAGCCTTTTGTAGACTGTTCCGTGCTCCTGAATAATGCATCAGTCATCAATAAATTTATTTTTAATTTCCTGTCGTACCAAAAATTTAAACACGACCAGGTGCAGTCGCACTCTACATTTTTAATAAATCATGTTTTTTTAATACCATAGCATAGACAGCAGTTTGAGGAATATCCACCGGAAATAGTGAAATAAGCATGCATATTTGTGCCGAACAAAAACCCCGCCAACACTTAAGCAAAATACACTTTCCATCAACCAACAGAAAATATATTATTAAATTAATATGTTATTATTTCAGAAACACCATGGTTAATATGTCCAGGTCTTTGTTGTATTGGAGTTGCTGGCCTTGCTCACTTTGCTAGTAATATCCAAGTGAGTAGTGATGTTAATAATTTTATACAAGACTGGTAAATACCTTAGAATTAAAGTTGTGATTATATTAACTTGTCTTTGTGTAAAATTAAAAGTAAACTTCAGTTTAAATTATTGTTAGGCTGTCAATTGTGAATGAAGAAAGCCTACTCAAAACACAATCCAAAAATTTAAAACACTATTCTGAATGTTGTCAGTCTTAAGGAAGATTAACTGTATACCGCCATCTTGGATTGTAAAAAAGAAGTACACAATCGGTCTAGATCTTTGCTTAAACCTGCAAATATTTAGACAAATTGGCAATAAATGTGTGAGACTGTTCGTATAAATAAAGTGAAAATTGTGATTTATTGCATTATAAGACTGTTTTAACAAATACTAAATATTTGTTTTTGTTCGATTCAATTTTTCACTTTAGCCATATCAAAGGAGATAACTCTTATAGTAAAAAAATATACTGGAATACTGGAATGACAGTGAAATTGTCATTTTTTACTTGTAACAAGAAAACAAGTTCGGTGACTACATTTTTATTTTTATTTTCTTTAAACATATTATGAAACTTATCTTCTCATATTTATTTCAAAATTCTATCTCACAGATTTCTTTTCATTCACAAAAAAGTGTTTTTTCATGAATAATCTATGCTAAATTGGGCAATTTTGGATGACTTGTAGCTTGAAAAATAGCACGGTGACCCATACTTTTGATTATATTTGTTTAAAAAGCATGGCAAAATCTCCATTTTGGCAAAGTATAAGAAAATTCAATTTGAGGAAATATATAGTGATGATCCACCTTAAGTTTGCGTTTTCTTTTATTATTCATTCTTTTTGGCGGACTATGAACAAATAAAGATTCCAGTTCTCAACGTGATCTTTATTTCTCGTTCCAGGTAGCCAATCTTTTCCAGGGATTCTCGTCAACTATTGTAGCATTATTTTGTGGACTCTTCGACAGTTCATCAGTTATTTTGCAAGTAGTAAAGGTAACTGTATTTACAAAAAGATATTGTTTTGGCAAATGAGCACTACTTAGCTTAACAATCATGTATTGATGTCAGAATATGTGACCCAGCTTTTCTTAATGAAAGTTTCTAACTTTTTTAGTTGTGTGGGGATTTGTGTTAAGTAATTGGCCTTTTCAGATCTAAAGGACCATGGGTAATTTTATTGTTTGTACCCCAAAATGAAAATAACGTCACGTCATTGGTTGAACTTCCATTGTTTTGGACGTTTTCAACCAATCACGACGTTTTGGTGTACGCTTTTGAAAATGTTACCCAGAATGCATTAGATTCTGAAAATGGCGAATTGGTGAAGCCAGTTTTCTCTCAACTTATTATTTGTGTTGGGAGATTTTTGGTAGTTGTTGCAGCTATTATTTTATACATCTAGTTCATAGAATGGAACTACAGCTCAATGTTTGAATGGAAGGATGATGTTAAAAATGGACTGTATAAATAGAAGAGTTTAGTACATAAGCGATTTTCTATCAACTCTTTATTATGGTTTACCAAATTTTGTAAATTTTACACAGGCTTTGTTAGTTTCTCTTTTTTTTATATTCAGGCGTTAGTGTGTTTGGATTATTTTATTTGATGATGCATATAGGTATTTTTAGGGTCGGACTCATTTACGATTCCTTTCGCATATTTTGATTTATTTTTCGAATATTTTGTCGTACAAAGGTACAATTCTATATTATATCTCTGTGTATAATCGTCACAGGAAATTGAGCCAGGAAAAAATAAACATGTTAAGATTTTCTTTCCGTTTTCAACCAATTCGACCAATTTTGTGTGGTTTTAAGGTTATGAAATGATTTTCTTATGAATGTTGCTTTATTTTTTTTTTATGCTGACAAGTATCAAAGAAAAAAATCTAGTACCTGAAAATTTCGAGGTCGATCTTTTATTGCTAAGGACATCCAAGTGATATTCACTTTTTATCAAGGTATATTTCAAGAATATGAGAGTGTGACTTCATATCCTATCAATTAAACAAAAAAAAAATACATGTATTTTCAAGGTCGAACGTTCTCTGTCTTCTAGCAGGCCAGACATCCAACTTTTTTTCACCCTTTTCTACGTTAATTTCAAGAATATGGCAGTATGACTTCATATTCTGTGAAATTTTATTACAAAAAGATGTTTTTGGAAGTATATGGATCACAAAAAATATATTCATTGCACAGCTCTCCACTTCGTTGGTACCAAATTGACGATGGCGATGACACACAGTGGTTATTGATACGTACCGATTATCAGGTTGTCTGCATATTGATATTGTAAAATATCAGCTGCGAGTCACAAGATGAAGCTTTTTGTCGAGTGAGCGCAGCGAACGAGTTCAAAAAGGCTTCATTAATTTTGTAATAAATGTTTGATTCCGTACTCCAAACAACAAAATTATTATATCTAAATTTACCTGTGTACGTTGTTTTATTTAACGCCATTTTGTCCCAGATTAGAGTTGTCTTTTTGACACTGTTCTTACATCTTTTTTATTTATATTGTAATTATATTATGTCATAGATCACACTCATTCGTTCAGCGTACGTTTACTTGATTTTGTTTACATGTCTTTTTGATCAAATTAAGCCATTTCAATTGATATTTTATAGTGTGTCTGTTTATGTTGTAATGTTACACAGCTGTCTCAGGTTAGGGTGAAGGTTGGCGCCTGTCAAAACGTTTACATCCTGTAAATTTTATACACCTGTCCTAAGTCAGGAGCCTGTTGTTCAGTGGTTGTTATTTGTTGGTGTGGTTCATAAATGTTTCTCGTTTCTAGTTTTTATATAGATTAGACCGTTGGTTTTCCTGTTTGAATTGTTTTACATTAGTCATTTTGGGGCCCTTTATAGCTTGCTGTTCGGTGTGAACAAAGGCTCTGTGTTGAAGGCCGTACTTTGACCTATAATTGTTAACTTTTTATACATTGTGACTTGGATGGAAAGTTGTCTCATTGGCACCCATACCACATCTTCTTATCTATATTCATATTGTGTCGAGCAGCTGATATTTTACAATATCAATATGATGACAATCTGATAATTTATCGGATAGTATTTGTGTATTTTGCATGACAAAAACTAGCGGGTTTTTTGTTTGTTTCTCAAGCAAACTGGAAGATGACGTGATAAGTTCGGGTCAAACGTATCAACGTCGGTTCATTCATCATGACGTCGGTGATATGTCCTGTTTAAAGATATTAAGGTCAGGGTCAGCGTATTTGACGTCACAAAGCCGCGATATTCTATTTTATGAAGAGCTGAACAGAGTGTAGGAACACCGATAATATCAGATTACTACATGGCATTTTTCATATCGCATGTATTATCAGCCCTAGGTTTTAATATCAGCCCAAGAGCCGTATGGCTCGAGGGCTGATATTGACCGAGGGCTGATAATACATGCGATATGAAAAATGACATGTTGTGATCTTTTTATCATATGCTTCAACAATGGAAAAAAATAAAAGATTAATTTATTGATCCTTTTACGTGGTTCTCAAATAGAAGTTCAGAGAGTGAAAAGTTCACGGACGTCGGACCCCAAATGTAGTAAATTCGATATGAAATCTTTCTAGCATATGCCTAAAAAGAAAAGGAAAACAGCATTATGATATATTTTAATATGGACGATAAAAAAAATAATTCAACAATATACATAACGAACACTGTTTGGAAAAGTCAACAATTTTAAAGTAACTTTCTAGATTATATTTGAAACTTTTAAAAATGCAATTATTTTATCATTTGTTTTTTTGTTGTTTTTGTTTTTGTTTTTTTCATTTTACACAATACACTTTCCAGTATCCAAATAATTGTTTTGTACCTTACTTTGTATTGTTTTTCACTGAAAACGTACAATTGAGGTGTATTTTCCGGAATTTGCCGAGTATCGCCGGAATGCCATGTGATAACGTTATGGAAAGGCATGTGATAATAATCGAAGCATGTGATAAATTTTTCATATCAGCCCGCTAAATACCATTTCGGAAAAATATGGAATTCACGTTGATTTAATGCTGTTATCATACTGTAAGAAATATATGTTATTTTCTCTAAGTATATGATAATACAATTTATCGACATAGGAACCGAACATTCATCTTTTGTGTTTGATATTTTATCTTTCGGTACAATTTGTTTTCAACTTTAATAAATAAAAAAAAAGAGAAAAACTGTGTGTTTCAATAACATACAGGAGCATGAAATATTTAAAAACAAAATGTTTTGCTAATTTCAATACAAAGTCCTTTTCATCACTTCCCTTCTGAAACAAATATTTGTTTAAAGAAATTTCTATTCAAACAATTAATTTAAAGATCATGCCCGACAAAATGAATGTTTGGTGCAGCACTGCTACTTTGCACGAACATTTAATATGGCGTCCATTTTCACTGAACTAGTACATATTTTTATTTAGGGGCCAGCTGAAGCCCGACTCCGGGTGCGGGATTTTCTCGCTGTGTTGAAGACCCATTGGTGGCCTTCGGCTGTTTTCTGCTCTTTGGTCGGATTGTTGTCTCTTTGACATATTCCCCATTTCCATTCTCAATTTTATTATGATACAGTCATTTTATTTTTAAAAAGGAAGGGGATATATAGTTTTTTTTAATATTCAAGGCATGGAAATCATCTATTCATAGGTATGAGTTGATCAAACGACTTCTGATGTTCTTTTAACATTATTTAACCGCGTCTGTATTCTCTGTAACCTTTGAGTAAATTTTATAGAGCATTTACAAATGTTGCTAATATGGTTCCATTGTACACATAAACTTAACACTCCTGTAGAATTTTTATGATTAGCAGAAAACTTTCGATTTATTTGCATAACCAAATAACCCTCTCCCTAAACAAACGAAAGGAATTATATATAAAAAAACACCTTTAAAGAATTTTCATTTCATATTATCCATAAAACGATAAATTTCTTCATTTGAAGTAATGAAGTCATTCATGATAAGCTAGAAAATATAGGGAAACAAACCACAATAGTTCCTTCATTCAATGTCATTTTAACTCGGGTGAATGATTGTCTTATTGGCAATCTTACCACATCTTCTTATTTTTATACACATTACGCAAATAATTTTACCTGAAATTTTAACATACTCTGGTATGTACTCAGGATCAAGTAAGTGATAAAGATCATATATATGTTATCGTCTTTTTATTACCATCCGACGCCAAAATGTAAATGCATGAGTCTCTTTTTTTAAATAAAATTTAGTAACATTTTAAGTAAATTTTATGATGTCTGATGTCAAAAAATAAGTAATGAAAAAATAAAAATCAATTGAAATATGAAAGTTCATCATAACACACAAATGTACACTCCTTAACAAAAATATAAAAGTAAAGGGATATGACGCCATTATTGTTAACTCAAGCAATTTATAAAAAAAAAGGTGCTAAGCAGTGAATGCACCCTTTTTCTCCTTGTCTGCTACTAGTATCTTCTTTCACAAACACCTAGGATGGTACAAATGAAGAGAAAATAAATGCATTAGTGTTTGTAACTTTAGTGGGTTTTTTAAGGAAAATCCAATGTAGCCTTCGTTTCTTTTTGCTGTCATACATTTGTTCATTTTAACTTATACATTAAACTAAACATAAAATACATAGGAATTGGTCACTAGGTTAGATTTAAAGTTGAGACAATTTTAGTAATGCTAAGACCATATTTTGACCTGTGTCGATTTGATGTTAAGTAATTGAAATAATGATATAAAAATTGAGGTAATACTATACCAAACTGTTCTAGTTAATTGATATGTAAACAGAACGATTATATTTTTACAATGCGTTCTCCTATAGAAAGTTGTGTCCGCCGATTTACAAATCTACTACATGTCTATCTGCAATAAAAAAAAGTACATGTGAATATTTTTTATAAGTTAATAGCTAAGTTGTTTATTACACCAATTTGGATTGTCCTTCAGTAATTTGAGAATATTTCTCACGACACTTTTC